CCTATATGAGTCATGGCCACATGATACCAACCATAGACATGGCCAAACTATTTGCTTCCAAAGGCATCAAAACAACCATAATTTCTACTCCTCATAATTTGTCCCTCTTCTCCAAAGCAATTGAAAGAAGCGAACTTTCGGGTTTCGAAATCGGAGTTATTGCTCTAAAATTCCCAGCTGTGGAGGTTGGGTTGCCAGAAGGGTGTGAGAGTGCTCACATGGTTGAAACACAGGAAGAGCTTCAAAAATTCTTGAAGGCCGCAACTTTGCTTGATCAACAACTTGAGCAGCTCCTCAAAGAACACCAACCAAATTGCCTTGTGGCTGACTTGTTTTTCCCATGGGCAACTGATGTTGCTGCTAAATTTGGAATCCCAAGGCTTGTTTTCCATGGCACAAGTTTCATCTCTTTATGTGTTACACACCATTTGATGAAAATGGACCTTTCCATAGTGTCTGATTCTGAACCTCTTGTTATTCCCAACTTACCACATAAGCACGAGCTTGCAGGAAACCAAATACCAGATTTCATGAAACAAGAATCTGAGTTGGGAAGTTTTGCCAAAGCAGCTGCAGAATCTGAGTGGAAGAGCCATGGGGTTCTTGTTAACAGCTTCTATGAGCTTGAACCAGCTTATGCTGACCATTACAGGAACTTTTTGGGAATCAAGGCTTGGCATATTGGACCTACTTTTTTATGCAATAAGGAGATTGAAGATAAGGCAAACAGAGGACCCAAAGCCTCCTTAGATGAACATGAATGCTTGAAGTGGCTAAGTTCTAAGGAGCCCAATTCAGTAATTTATGTGAGCTTTGGAAGTGTGGTGAAGTTTGATGATGCTCAGCTCCTTGAGATTGCATTGGGTCTTGAGGCTTCAGGGCAGCAATTCATTTGGGTAGTGAAAAAAGAAAAGAGTGATGAAGAAAATAAAGAAGACTGGTTGCCTGAAGGGTTTGAGGACAGAGTTGAAGGCAGAGGACTTGTTATAAGAGGATGGGCTCCACAGGTGCCAATTCTTGAGCACCAAGCAACAGGAGGCTTTGTGACTCATTGTGGATGGAACTCCACCATGGAAGCAGTGACTGCCGGCGTGCCAATGGCCACGTGGCCTGCGTTCGCCGATCAGTTTTACAACGAAAAATTGGTGACTGAAATACTTGGAATTGGGGTTAGAGTGGTTGAGGGTGCTAAAAAATGGGCTAGGTTTGGAGGGGATAGAGTGAAGAAGGTAAATATAGAGAAGGCTGTGACAGAGGTTATGGTTGGTGAAGAGGCAGAGGAAATGAGAACCAGAGC